TGTTTGGCAGCCCAGCCATACTTTCCACTACTATGCTCTACCTTACCACTAACAGCCTTTAGGCAAGTGTGCGAGTCCTAAATAAGTCATACATATATTTGAAAAGTGGAAATGAAATAACATGCTTCACCTTTTAAAAAATGCTCTTTAAGGCTGTAGTTTGGTTTTTTTTTTGTGTGTGTGTGTCGTTAAAATGCATTATGTATAGCTTAATTATTTTCTATAGTGTTAGGGTATGTTGAATTAGAAAATATAATTTAGATAGCAGCACTGATTTACTTTACATTTTTTTTCAATATTACAGTCACAGCCTTTGAACTTTCAGAAGCCTCAGTATTCACTTCTTTTTAATTTATAAGAAATGAAATGTGCAGTATTAGAGTAAAACAAGGTCTTAAAAGCTTTATTGCCTTTTCAGGATCAAATAGATACAGAAAATACTCATTTCTCAAAATTTGCATTATGGGGGGGAAAAAAACCCACACTGAATTAAAAAACTTTTTTTTTATTTGGATCTGGGTGTGGATCTGCATTCTAGTCCTGGATCAATCTCTAATAAAATGTGTGCCCTCAACAGCTTATGTGGATAAATTTTCCCATCTCATAAAGAATGGATTTGAAAGATGAGAGCTGGCTGCCTATCACTGACTTTTTAAAACACAGAATCCAAAAGAGATCAATAACAAGAACAACAGCACACTTCTCAGGTGAATATAAACATTCAGGCTTGAAAACTGTTGGATTTGGATCACCCAATGTATTCTCTCTCAACAAAATCATAATCTCCTTGAGGACACAACTGTATCTTATTAAAATGCTTTGTATCCTTCTGCCTGGTTCCCAACAATCAACAAATGTTTATGAACTGAGTTTTAGTTTATATACTAATATGATGAGCAATTTCTGTTTCTTTTTATGCTTTCAGGAACTTCTAAATCTTAGAGTTTCACACACCGAGGACTGTCTGGCAATTAAGATTAGAGCAGGTAAAAAAAACAAAAACAAAGAAATTAGCACCACCCTAAAGTGACTGGAAATATTTTTATATGGGTTAGCAATAACAGTCAGAGAGGTATATAGGTAAACAAAACATTTCAAAAGGAATTTTTCAGCACAGGGTAATTCTGTTGGAGCAGAGAACCAGGCAGAATTATGATTCTAATATCCCATACTTGTAAGGTGCTTTACAATTTATAAATTGCATTTACTTGCCTCGTCTTTATCCTTACAAAACCCTAGGTCAAATAATTACTTCATTAGTAAAAACTAATCAGACAAGGCTCTGAGAGGTCAAATAATACATTTTCAGAGTTGATTATATTAGTGTTCCCAATCGTCAATCATTTCCAAACTACTTTTATTATTTCTGCCATAACTGATTACCACTTCATACTGTTGTTTACCTAATATTTTTCATTTGTGTGTCACACTTTAACATTTTTTTTAGTTGTCTTAAGAAATAGTTTTTACTGCTTCTCCTCCCCCTCCTTGTCTGGTTCTGGGGTACAATTTGGACTAACAGGAGTTGAATGGGGGAAATGTTGATTCTCCCCACTTTGGGGGAGGGGTACACATTAATTGAGCAGTAGGGATAGAAGGCATGAGCCTGGGAGTGCTTTTATAAATTATTTTCCTTGTAGATTTTATTTTTATGTATTTATTTTTTTAAAATATATTTTATTGATTTTTTACAGAGAGGAAGGGAGAGTGATAGAGAGTTAGAAACATCGATGAGAGAGAAACATCAATCAGCTGCCTCCTGCACATCACCTACCAGGGATATGCCCGCAACCAAGGTACATGCCAGTGACCAGAATCGAACCTGGGACCCTTCAGTTCGCAGGCCAACGCTCTATCCATTGAGCCAAACCAGTCAGGGCTAGATTTTATTTTTAATTTATCTGTAACCTGCCAGGGAAGGGAGAGGAGAGGTCGTGAGCACATGACAAAATAAAATAAAATGGATGAAAAAAAAAAAGTTTTGAAATCATGGGTCTGGTTTGCCCCCCTAATAAACACTAAAGATAAATAAATGAAATAAAAAATAGCCCTAACTGGTTTGGCTCAATGGATAGAGCGTTGGCCTGCGAACTGAAGGGTCCCAGGTTCGATTCTGGTCACTGGCATGTACCTTGGTTGCGGGCATATCCCTGGTAGGTGATGTGCAGGAGGCAGCTGATTGATGTTTCTCTCTCATCGATGTTTCTTTCTCATCAGTGTTTCTAACTCTCTATCCATCTCCCTTCCTCTCTATAAAAAATCAATAAAATATATTTTTAAAAAAATCATTGGTACCATGTGTCCATGTAAGAAACATCTAAACGTATAGAGAATTTTTAGGAGTTTATTTGAGCCAAGCTGATGACAATTGCCAGGAGACAAAATCTCAAAGAATTGAGAAAATGCTTCGAAGGATGGCAGTTTTACAGCTTATTTTATACATTTACAGGGGTGGGCAAACTTTTTGACTCGAGGGCCACAATGGGTTCTTAACCTGGACCGGAGGGCTGGAACAAAAGCATGGATGGAGTGTTTGTGTGAACTAATATAAATTCAAAGTAAACATCATTACATAAAAGGATACGGTCTTTTTTTTGTTTTTAGTTTTGTTCATTTCAAACGGGCGGGCCGTAGTTTGCCCACGGCTGCATTAGAATCAAAGGAGATGTCTCCTAAGTGAGGTTATATGAAATCCATTTGTGGCAGATTACAGGGATGGGAGAAAGCAAATCAGTGAAATCTCTGAGAATAGATTAATAGTAACATGGAGAGACACATTTCTTTACATTGGTGGGTACAGGATAGTTAACCATATTTAAAGCACAAAGACGTGATGGGTTCTGTGGTCTGATGCTCTGGTGTGATGGGTGTGCCCCGAGGGGTCTGGAAAAGGAGTTTACTCTGACATTCCAAAGGTATGTTATCTTAGATGCAGAAGGACAATAGCCTCAGTTAAGGTACAGATTGACCTTTGTCAAGGAAGCCACAGGGCCATGATCTATTTTTAATTAGGATTTTTTATGTTCAGACCATCCCATGTAGTTACTTTCAGTCTCCGAGTTTGTGGGGCCTGACATGCAGGTCTCCCCCGAGCTTATCAGGTTTAGTATGTGGCCCCTTTTTTGGCCGCCCATACTTTAAAACTCACTCTACAACCCTATCCATAAAACCTTTACTTAAAACATCTGGCTAACCAGACCTTCAGTTTCTGCAGGCACATCTGCAGTAATATTAGGCAAGTTACTTAATTTCTCCCTGTTTCATTGAACTCATCTTCAAAACGGGGATAACAATTACCAACCCCACTGGATGCTTGTGTGGACAGATCAGATAATACAGGTAAAGCTATCAGCAGAGTTCTGAACATGTACAAAGCTTTCAATAACTTATTTTTTGGAATTGTTAGTGCTGGGTCGCTTTTTTTTTTCTGGTATTCTCATAATTGGAAAGTTTTTTCTTCAATTAAGCCTCCAACAACTTCCCTATCACTTTCCCCAATTTAACTCAACTGCTGAAAGTTGACAAGAGGACTTTAAAGTGACATTTATACTTGTTATATTTTCCTTCTCGACTTGTCTTAGACTATGCTGGTAGTAAAAGGAGAAGTGGGGGTTAAATCTTTCAGTTTAGGGCTTGTTGCAAGGCTAAGGACTGACAGTCCTAACCTTGGCCAGCCGCCTGAACAACTTGGACCACACCTTTTCCTGCCAAGCCCAGCGCCACCTGGGGAGTCCCAAGTTCTCCGGTCACCTCTTGGAGTGAGTTCCTGCAGCTTCGGATCAGTCTCACGTTCTCCCAGCCCGCCCCTCTAGAGCAGGTGGCACGCCTGGAGGCATGGGCCAGCCTGGTTTATACACGACTTCTCAATGTCTGTTCTGCCTGGTCACCTGTGAGTGAGGTTTTCGCCTCGCCCGAGCAGACCTACCGAGAGTAAGCACCTCTATAAACACCCGCTACCGCCAGGGTCGCTGGAAGGGAGATTTGCTGGGTTAATCGGAAGCGCCGGCTGTTTTGCTTCCTGGGACACGTGGTACCTGGACTGTCCTCGCCCCCTATTGAGAGTGCGGGGCAGGCGGAAGACTACAATTCCCAGCATGCCCAGCGAAAGGAAAGCTCGGCGGCTTCACGTGACCACCCACTATGGCTTCCCTCTGCCGGGGCCAGCCGTCCGGTGGTTTGGAGTGATTTGTTAGTTCTTTGCGGCAGGTACCCCTCTCCCGATTTCGGCATGCAGAAAATCAAATCTCTTATGACCCGACAGGTAAGTCGCGGAGGCTGGAGCCAAGGCCTCCTTCACCTCCGATGAGAGAGGGGCTGAGATGTTCTGTGTCTGGGCCGCGGCGTGTGGAGACCTAATTTATAGGTGGTGGCAGGTGTCTGGGGTACCGGAAGCCGGTGCACACCCTGAAAAACTCACCTGAGCACCCCCCCCCCCCACCTCCATAGATGACAGCCCTACTCGAGCTGATAGCGGCGTCTCCCAGAATCATTTTTTTAAAAAAGAAATCAATGTAGGAATCGGTGCTATCTCTGTCTCCTTCTCCCCCTAAAAACCATTTTCCCCGCTGACAGTCCCAGCTGCCCCGGCCACGCTGGCTGTCGTCTTGGAGCCGGTAGCCCGGTTAGGGGGTGAGGTCTGTGCAATAGAGATGACCTGGGAAGAGCGAAAACGGCGGATAATCTGATGGCCGGAATTGGTAGCTTTATGACTTTTGGCAAGTCCCCAAATCTTGTAGCTTACGTTTCTGGAAATGAGGATGATTTTTTGTTTTGTTCGTTAATTCCCTCTCACGGTTCTGTTATGAGGGTCATCAGTAAGCTAACGTATGTGAAAATTCGTTGTGAGGTGCCCTACTTTTCACCATTGTCCTGGCAAATAATTGTCTTATTTTTTGCCATAATGATAATTCATGAATTAAAACTGGCTATTTTCTATCCCATCTCATAAAGGTTGGGGACTTTCTAATAATGCCTCAGCTTCCTTCAAGCAAGTAGTGGGAGAAATGTCCCTTTCTTATTGATCATGGCTTGGTTTTAGTTAGCTTTACTTATTTCAACTCTAATGTTTCACTAGAACTGGCCATTCTTTATTACTTTAATATGAGAGAAGGATAATTCAGATTAGAGGTTTCAATCAATGTGGTTTGGAGAACTCTGGAGAATGTGGAGGATAATCATTTATTGAAAGGCTCTTGTGTGAGTTTTTTGTTGTTGTTGAATAAAAAAAGAATACTAAGTCCAGATTAAATTCTCATTTGGGGATTTAGAATTTGGAAGACATCTAAACAGGTTACAATGTGTAGATTTCTAGCAAACAATACATGAATCCTACATGGTTACTCCTGTCAAATAATATTGTTAATGTCATAAGCAGAAAATAAAATGTTCTACGAGTAACAAAATATTTAAGTGAGCAGGTAATGACATTTGTCAATCCTTCACATTTGTTGAGTTCTGGGGTTATGCTTCATACCATTTCTTACTTGAGAATGAGTTCAGGTCCTGCTCCATTCTGTAGTAGCTGTGTGACCTTGAGCAAGTCACCCAACTTTTTGGATCATCTGTTTCCACATCTTTAAAATAGGAATTATAATGTGTACCTCATGGGGTTAGCTTGGTGGTGATGTTTACATGACATGATAAACGTAAAGAGATAAATAAAGGAGTTATTCAGGTTCCTGGGCCTTATCGAGGAGGTGCTTGATGAAGTGGCTGCGCTGTACTGTTGGCGGGAAAGCAGGAGAACTGGAAGCAGGCTGGTGTAGTAATTCAAACAGGAGACTGTTTCCGATGACTTTGGCAAATTTCTAAAACAATGCACACTTTCTTTCCTTTTTGTTGTCAATCTTCACATGAGGAGATTTTTTCCATTGATTTTTAGAGAGAATGGAAAGGAGGGGGAGAGACTGAGAGAGAAACATTAACATGGGGATGGAGCCTCCAACCACGGTACATGCCTGTGACCAGAATCAAACAAACCTCGACCCTTCAGTCTAAGGGCCGATGCTCCATCTACTGAACCAAACTGGCCAGGATACACACATTCATACATTATATTACTAATACTCCTAAACTGCCTTGAAATGCTAAATTTGGATTTTTGTGCATCAGCTAAGTTCTCTGCTCTCTCATGTTGCTTGCTACACAGTTAAGTGTAGTCAACGTTGTTGTGCAGCAACTGTTTTTTATTGTTTTTTTTTAACCATATTTTGTAATACTAAGGGGGAGAGAAAATATGAAAGTCCAGGTATGAGTAATAATAAGTTTGTGACTCTGAAATGTAGTTGCTTCTTAGACATGACCAGATGGAATCTGTTCCTAGCATGGAAAAACAAAACAAAACAAAACAAAACAAAAAAATAACCTAGAGAACATATATGAAAAGCTACAACTATCCTATATAAAAAGTGAGGTAAAATTAGAATTTTGAAGTCATCCTAATTATGTATGTTTAATGCTTGGGTTCCACATATTTGATCATTATTAATACACATTTCATGAACAAAT